CGAGGCAACGTTCGGCTGCCACTGCCTGCTGCAGCGGTTCTGCCAAGCCGCTAATGGTGTCAGATCTCCAAACACTGCAAGACACCGTCTGAAACTCCAGCCTCATGGCACGTCAACATCGCCAAGCTCATCAAAGGGAATAACATTTAGCTATGTGTCGCGTCTCTTTCCGTGTCAAAATTGCTTCCGGAGTCGGCAATGAGGACATACAACCGGTAGAGCACACACCAGGCTGACCGTCTTTGGTTGACGATTCTTTACTCGTTGAGCTTGACCCGTCGCATCGACTTATCCCTTCAGCTTCAGGAGACGGGCTCGATATGGTCGAAAAAGGGATAGCAGGTAGCACCGAGTCTTTTATTGTGCTTTGAGGAAAAGATGAAAGACATCTCAAGCGTCCTAGTACGTTGATTGTATCATCAGAAGACTCTACATGACATGTGGAGTCGGATATCTGGAAGAGTGGATGAGCAGCGAACGCTCGCCCCGACGGGTCGTAGCCGATGGAGCCTAGGATAACTTTGTCTGCAACAGGCTGATCACCAACTGTCAACACAGATACCCTTTCGACTCGCCTAGCTGGTTCGAACATGACCAAGCGCCTCCGTTGCGATACGTTCGACACTGACTTTGCCTTGGTCCTTGGCTCCTCCGAGGCTGTCAGATACAGTAGCTGATAGTCTCTTGTTGTCAATCGCAGGTGGTTTGCAAGTCTCGCGCAGCTCGCTACACGGTCAAGGTGTGCAGCAATCTTGACAGACGGAGCTGATACTAAACATGGTGGATACGAAGAGAGCTTGGGGAGCGGGCTTGAATGACAGTGTAGTCCATTGAGGCCGATTGGGAGCTGCGAGAGAATTGGTAGGGTAAATGGGGAAGACTTTACTGCTGACCAAAGTAACACCGAGAACATATGCGACGTCTGTACGACGACATCCTGCACTTGGGGCTTTCATCCAGGCTTCCTTCGTCGAACGTGTCTCGGTCGTAACCTCAATTCTACTGTCACAACTGCGTCGACCCGTTGAGCTTGCATCTGCGTGTCTATGAAGCTTTCATAGTGGAGTGGATCGAGTACGTGCTTCAGGGCCCACTTTGCGACGTCTTCAAAGCTTCGCGTGGCTGGTCTGATATCTCCGTGTACGGATGGTTGGGCGCTATTTCGACCAAAGAGGAAGCGCTAGTGCGAGAGCAGATGTGGCGCAGCCCCTGAAGTGGTCTGTTCGTTGGCGAACACCACGAACATATGGGTCATGAACAGTCGGGCAGAACAAGAACAGCGTACGGCATATCTATGCGTTCCTTCAACGGCCCCTGGTATGGTGAGGTCAGAAACAGATGAGGTACTCTCGAGAGGCGTGTATGGGCTCATCCGCGGCAAGGGTTGCTTCACTATTCATATTCTGATACACTCTTCTTCCGTGAGCTGACTCTACTGCTCAACGGCTTACACGAGCTTCGCTCTGACGGTCAATGATCAGCCGAACTGAACGTGCGTCAAGAGGACGGGATCTTTTCGAAAACCACGCTATTGGACACGCAATGGCCACAAGGTCTAGAATGAAGTGTTAAAATAGACACAAGGATCTTATTGGATACTGGAAGCACATTCACCATTCTTACCTTAAACGCCTCCAGACAAGCTCACCTTTGACAGCGTATGCCGGGGTATCAAGCTTTCTGCCAAGTCGGGAAAGGCCCACTCAAACAGTACCCTTACTCCTCCTCCCGGTTCGCCGTTGAGGGGTTCAGCATGCATAAAAGTGCGTTTGAAAACTCGGTGAGCGAACTTCTAGTAAGGCAGAGTCTCACAAGTGTCAACTAGAGGACTTCTGCATGACTGGGTTCAAGATCTCGACAATGCCCTTCCTTTCAGACTTCGTGCAGCTCACGATAGATCGGCCCAAATGGTACTGTATAACTCCGACGCTTGTACTTCGTATCCGTATGTACATTTGGGTCGATCTCTAACGAACGGTATGCTCATGCATTGCGCACGTGTCGCATTCTAGAGCTCAACACCCTCGGATTCAGGGTACCAAGTAAGCAAGCGAGCGGCAGATTCTACCGTCCCAGTATCTCAGGGGCGTGTGTCTCTCAGACCAATCTACCCACTGGGTGAGTATATATGGACGACGGTGTCTCGCAGTCCATATACTCATCCACATCTTCTCTCTAATCATCAACACCTCTTTCCTACACTCTTTTTTCTTATATTATCTCACCCCAGTCATTCGTTATACACGATCTTATTACATCTAATACCTAATTTTAACAACACTCATCATCACCATGAAGTACGCACTCATCTTCGTTGCCACTGCCGCTGCCCACGAGGCCTACGGTGGATACGGTGCGCAAGCAGAGTCCAGCTCCGTCGTCGAGCCGAGCACCTCCGCGAAGCCCATCGGATACACGACTATCGTGCCCGGCTATGGCAAGCAGCCGGTCACCGTGACCACTCAACATCAGCCGTACCCCACCTGCGTGTCCCCCGCCTACGGTGGTAAGGACTGCGCCAAGTGGGATGAGGATGCCTACGTATCAACTGTCATCAAGGACTACGACAACAACTACGCTACGATCACCAAGACCGCGCAGCCCGTTGTTGTTTACCACACCAAGAAGACAATCACCCACTCCGCTACTGCAACAGGCGGCTACGCGGCGCCCACTGGTCTCGCCCCTAAGAACGGCACTGACGGCTGCTGGTACGAGCTGTACGAGAAGATCGAGTCGGTCCCATACAATCAACTCGGTCCTCACGCACTTCCCGGTTACCCCGGTTCCGGCCTTTACAAGGAGGGCGAGCAGAAGCAACCCGTCAACGTCAAGGAGTACAAGGGCGGAAAGTGGTCTGAGTACGTCCACGAGTACTCTTACGGCACTCCTAAGCCTGAGGTCACCACTTACGCGAAGCCCGGTGTCTACACTGTCCCAAGCAAGGACGTCACAGTTGAGCACCCTGTCACTTACCCAGCTGAGGCCACCAAGACCGCGAAGGCCGGCGAGACCTGCACCTACGGAGGCCAGTACATCGAAGCCAAGCAGACCGGCTACATCACCGCCGCTTACGGTGCCTACGAGACAAAGGTCAATGGTGGCAAGACTGTTACGGAGACAGTGATCAAGCACACCACAATCTATGCCTCCACCACCGGCAACTACGAGGTCGCGAAGCCCACTACTACCGTCTACGACCACGACACCGAGGTCGCATACCCCACCGCTAAGCACTACGAGGCGGGTATCTACCACCATGAAGCTCAGACTGTCACCATCACCAAGCCTGGACAGGCCTACACTTGCGAGTACGAGCAGACCAAGAAGCACGAGGCCACTTCAGCACCCGCAAAGAGCAGCGGTCATGCGGCCTACCCTACCTCCGCCTCCGCTCCCGCTCACGACAACTCTTACGGCCACAACAAGCCATCTGCTACTCCCAAGCAGCCTACTGAAGGTGACAACAAGTACCCCTCCTACCCCGCCGGTCCGATGAACGGACAGTCATCCTCAGTTCACGAGGCCTACCCAGCTTCCACTCCTTCTTACCCCAAGAAGCCTACTGAGGGCGAGAACAACTACCCCTCTTACCCTGCCGGTCCAGCTAAGGGTCACTCCTCATCTTCGGTTCAGGAGTCTTACCCAGCTTCAACTCCTGCCGGTGTCTACTCCAAGCCATCCTACAACGGCGGCAACGCCTATGGCAACAACGGAAAGTCTACCATGGCCACCGTCTCCACCAAGGAGTACCCACACCCGGAGTCCACCCCTGCTTACGGCACTGATTCATCAGTGATGGCCAGCTCCACGCCCTGCGAGAGCAGCACTGCTTCCGTTACCCCTGCTTCATCTTCCGTCTACAGCGCTTCTACCCCCGCTGCCGTCAGCTCTGCTCCTGCCTATGGCACTGATTCGTCTACCGTTGCCAGCTCTACCCCTTGCGAGAGCAGCACCGCATCCGTCACACCCGCCAAGTCCTCCAGCTACAGCGCTTCTACCCCCGCTGCTGTCTACTCCAAGCCCTCATACAACGGCAACAACGGCTACGGCGAGAACGTCAAGTCGACTCTCTCCACCATCTCTACCAAGCCTTACCCTGCGTCCACTCCTGTAGAGCACTACCCCGCGAGCGCCAGCTCTACTCCTTGCGAGAGCAGCACCGCATCCGTCACACCCGCCAGCTCATCCGTCTACAGCGCCCCGGTCTACAGCCAGGCTACCCCCAGCCCAGCCGAGTCTTCGTCCACCAGCACTGAGGTCTACAGCCAGGCTTCCTCAACTCCTTGCTCTTCCTCTGTACAGTCGACCCCGACTCCCGTCCAACCGACTTCCACTCCTGTCTACGAGAACGCATACCCCGCTGGCGCCACCTCCACCCCTTGCGAGAGCGACAAGCCTTCCGCTACTCCTGCTGTTCCTGCCGCGTACACCCCTGCCCCTGCTGAGGGCTACGGCAAGACCCAGACTGGCTACTCCAGGCGTAGTGGAATGAGCCAGCGCCGCGCTGCGCAGTAGATTCCTGTTCTCCTGTAAATAATTTCATTGTGTTAGAGATGTATCGAGAAGTAGTTAGAGGGGGATGATCGAGTCAGTAGATGTGTATGTAGGATTCAATGAGAAGTCTTGCATCAAATTACCTAGTGTCTGTGTATGGGATATGCGCTGGTTCCAATGTGGTTGAGCTGAGAAAGTGGGGACTCGTTGGTTGTTGACGTCCACTTGTTGGTTGTTCCCTTCAAAGATCCCACATCAGACTTTAGAACGGCTGCTAATCTGAACGATACACGGAACTATTGACAAGGCAAGACTTCGTGAGCGGGAATTGGTGTTGCATGAAGTGGGGCGTTTAGCAAATGGAGAAAGCTGGGTCGAAGCGAGAGCGGGGTTCAATTGCAGCTTCCAGCAATGCGATGTTCGATGTATTGAGACGCATCACTCATGAGTCCTGAAAATGTCGCTAGGAATATGTATATCAAATTTGGTCGATTCTCCATCAAGCATTCTTGGTCCAACGGTAGGATAATTGCCTTCCAAGCAATTGGCCCGGGTTCGAGTACGTTCTATTCCACATCCCACCTCACCAACACATCACTAACATACAGCAGCTCCCGGAGGATGCACAGCTCCTTCTCACGATTGCAACGTTGACTACTTTTTTTGCGTTCTCGAAGTCCCGATCCGCCTTTGCGACATGACTGCAGAGGACTAACTTTTTTTTGATAGTTTTGGTTCTGAAACTCTATTGGGATATTCTAAAAAGTGCTCTACAAAGTACCTTCAACCCGCTATCACCAAGTGTGTGCTGCAGGCCTAGAGCTGGCTAAACTCTTGGGCGCGACACCACAGTGCGGGGTGCTGCCTTTGTTATCAAGCACCATCTCGCTTCTGACTTGTAGCTCATTAGGTAGCAATACAGGCCATTAAAGTGGAAAGGCCTAGAGCTATTGCTTGGTACTCGAGAGCTTGTTTTTTGACATGAGACATGCATATCAGTTCAGCTCGCATACTGGACTGATAACACGTACGTTGCCGTCCTGGAGGACACACGGATTCCTGCGGGACTTTGCAGCTCCGTGTCAGTCCAACGCAACATTGCGTAACAGCTATTGATGATCTCGCTCTACTCCGACGTTACCAGCGTGCTGGATAGAGAAGTAGTAGCTGGCACATTGATTGCACAGACAAGCTCCAAAGAGCGCGACCTAACCACTCTGGCGGGGACAAGCCTTCGCACCCCTCAAAACCGGTGACCCCAAAATCATGGTTCAGAGGCATATCATCTGCATTGATTGGCTTGCGGCTAGCCCTATATCGCCATCGGAGCCTCTGATGGTCTGGCTCTTCGGCTGGATGCGTTGGCTTTGCAGTGCACTGCGGGGCTTCAGACGCTCGCTCCGAAGTGGGGAGTCGGTGAGCTCACCTGAGGAACATGGCGAACTGGAGGCCCCGCCTGAAGTTTAAGGCGTCTGATTGGACGCCATGTTGCGAGATTGTAACAAGTCACCGACATCTTGATTGAGCTGCCATATGCGCCAAGTATGTGCTGAGGACACACATGAAAGGAAATGACGAGGATGTTTTGCGGCGTAGGTATTATATAGTGTGCTGACAGCCTGACCTTTGAGCCTCACACCTGGCCTCTGCAGTCATCCTTCGTCATCTTAGCCTACAATACGCTGCTACTCTCATACGTTGAGACGAATACGACTCTGCAAACATCTCTTGATATCTTTGTGAGGCTATCAAGATGACTTCCCACAACCAGCCCATGCCGCCACCAATCCGGACAAACACTGTCGATTCGCAAAAGTCACGGTCGTCGTCGGGTCAAACATCTCCACCCTATTCTCCAGCATCACCAACGGCCCGCGCAACAGCTTCACCAACCGAAGCATCTTTCTTCGGCGCCATTTCAGCACGCATCCGCGGTCGCTCACGGAGTCGCTCTCGTGGAGCCACGTCTCGCAAACGCTCCAAGTCGCCCATGGTCATGCCACCCGAGCAAGCGCCTTACTCACAAAGGCATGCTTCCGCTACAAGCCCCATCAGCCCGACGCGACCAACCGCAGGACCGGTACAAAGTGACAGACCTAGCATACAGGCTGCAGGTCGGCGAAGCACAAGCGGAAGCGACCCGTGGAAAGGACGGCATTCGAACGACTGGCTGTTCAACGGGTACTCGCTGACTGCTTCGGCAAAAGAGCTGGTTCAACGACGGAAGTAAGCAGTATGGTTGGCTGATAGTACTGCTGGCGGTACGACGCTCGCTAGCGGGTGTCTGGCAGCGTTTGACGAACGTTACGAAGGACGATAATGATATGGCTGAACGGATTTGTTTCGAGGTTAGCGGGTTTGCCGGGAGGCGAGCAGGGCAACTGGGCAGATCGCGGCGTTGTTGTCGCTATCTTCACTCGCGTTCTTACTGTCATTACCTTGGTTGTACATTAGCTACAAGCATGCGATTTGACGTTACTGTACCGAACGCCATGTGTCGCATGCCGTGATGCCACGTTTGTCAGATGTGCTCGCATGCTGGAGTGGCGCGGCTCCACGTTGAACCATACCTTGGTACCGAAACCAAACAACAGAGTCGTTCCATGCTAGTAAAGATGGATGGTACGGCATGTCAGAGAGTTCGGAGTGGATTTGCGCAGCTCCTTTACATAATCAGCCCTACTGACTCGCGGCGTCTGCTCCGGTCCCGCACCTGCCATGCCATGTACCAGGTACCAAACGATCTCACCGCTGCAGTGAGTACCTTCATGTCTTCCTGTGCTCTGTGCTTCTGCGATACTCGCGACAAACACGCGACAATGATATTGAGATTTGAGACACGTTATTCGGAATCCCCTCGTCGCCATGTCCTATCATCGGAGTAACGACATGATGCCCCAGGTAGCCTAAGCTGCTGCGTCGAACCCCGAAGGATGACCCACCACCCCTCAGTCACGCCGCCTTGAGGTTGATCATCGTTCGGTACAAATATACGCATTCCGAGCCCAGAGGAGTATCGTTCGTCACACCGCATCGGCTTGTCCTTCAGTGCTGGCACCTAACAGTTCACGTATTTAAGAGTTGATCGCAATCCGTCCCGAATCTCCAAACCTCCCTCCGCTGCCTTCCCCAATCCTCGAACCCACCATGAAGCACGAGCGCGCCACGCTTCCGACACCTACATCGTCAGACTCTTTCTGGCACAGCGAGCCGAATGAGTTTCTACTGGGTCACTGTACGACAGAGGAATTGCCCGCCGAGGCTGACATCGTTATCGTGGGATCTGGTATAACTGGCGCAAGTGCAGCGAGATATCTTTCGGAAGACGAAAGGGCTGCTGGCAAGAGCGTTGTCCTGCTCGAGGCCCGAGAGGCATGCTGGGGCGCTACAGGAAGGGTAAGACGACCGCGTCTATTCTTCGTACTCAAGTCGAACAAAACATACGGCGCACAGTTGCTAACGGTCGCGCAAACAGAACGGTGGTCACTGCCAACCTCTCCTCTTCGACCGAAGCAGCGACGTCGCTGAATTCGAACTCAAGAACGTCGCCGCGGTCAAATCCTACATTCAAGATAATGGCGTCCCTTGCGAGTGGCGCGACGTCACCGGCTGCCGCACATTCTGGACAGAAGGTGCAATGAAAGAGGCTGAGAAGGAGATTGAACATCTCAGGGAGATCGCACCCGAGATCGCACGTCACGTCACCATTATCAAGGACAAGGCGGAGTTGAAGAAGCATCGCGTCTCGCCCGACTGTGTCGGAGCGACGCTGAGTGAGGGAGCTGCGAGTTTGTGGCCATACAAGCTGGTCACGTTTGTCCTCAAGAAACTCATCAAGACTGGCCGGCTCAACCTACAGACCAAGACTCCCGTCGCCGAGATTACCTCGTCAGATGGCACACACACTCTCCACACACCCCGCGGCACGATCAGCAGCAAGACTGTCATCCTCGCAACGAACGGTTACACATCAGCCATCTTACCTCACTTCGCCGATCTCATCGTGCCCTGTCGGGGGGAGATGTCAGCCCTTTTCCCACCTGAAGGATCGACCCTTCTGCCAGACTCGTATGGCATGGTGGGAGCACTCGGTCAGCCAGAAAACAACGACGACTACCTCATCCAGCGCCCATTTGAGGGCGTTCCAAACCCCGGTGGTCATCTGATGTTTGGTGGCGGCCGCGGAGCTGGAAACTTCCCAAGCATAGGCATCTCGGATGACAGCGTGATTGACGAAGGCTCCGCTGCATATCTCCGCGGTGCGCTGTTGAAGGTCTTGAACTTGGGAGGGCAAATTGAGGGCTTACATGAGCTTAAGGCTGCGGCACAGTGGACTGGCATCATGGGATATTCTCGTGACGACCACCCATGGGTAGGGAAGGTGCCCGATAGAGACGGCTTATGGCTAGCCGGCGGATACACAGGACACGGTATGCCAAATGGTACATTATGCGGCAAGGCAGTTGTCGATATGGTACTGGGCGAAAGCGACGGCAAGGATCTGACCGCTGTACACGAAGAGATGGTTCAGAAGGGAGACATCCCCAAGAGCTACATCATGACAAAGGAGAGGATCGACCGGGCAAGGCAGATGCTTACGGTACAGCAACAAGATGCGCAGGGCGTACACATGAACGGTGTTGTATAGATTTCAATGACAATACCATTTCGCTCTCTTCGCCTTGGTGTACTCGTATTGCGATCGTTGAACTTGCTGATCTCGTGTTCCTGTGATACATGTTGTAGAATAAAGTTACTGGCCGTGGGGCTATTATCACTATGTTTTGTAGCACAAAAAAAGGCCCCTGGATCAATCGGCGCGCGGATGTTAGCGTCTAAGGCGTCCACTTACTCCGCTTCCAAGGTTCCCCCACTGAGGTACCCAGCCCGGCCGATTACCAATGCCCTACTCTACATGATCACGCTACAACAAAGACCACTACATCCGGGCCTATAGCAAACTATCTCGAAAACAGTAGACATACTTACATCGATACGTTATTGCCTGGCCGACCCTCAACTTTGTTAACAATTGCCCCCACCAACACAATCACCCGCTCCAAACCTCAACATGCCAGCAAAATCCCTCCCCTCAAAGTTCGGAGTCATCATCTTCCCCGGCTTCCACCTACTCGACTATGCCGGCCCCCTGGATGCCCTCAACATCCTCTCCGCCGACCACCCTCTCACGCTCTGCACCATAGCCGCAACACTAGACCCAGTGCCAACCCAGAACATCTTGCAAGACAAGCAAGGCTCCCAGTTCTCACAATCCATAGTCCCGACTCACACATTCGACAACGCGCCGGATGATCTGGAGGTGCTGCTCCTCCCAGGTGGGCTGGGTTCGAGGGGACCGGAGAGCGACAAGTGGATGAAGCCACAGGTCGAGTATCTCAAGAGATTGGATTTGAGCGGCAAGGGAAGTATTAAATGGGTTCTTACTGTTTGTACGGGTAGTGAGATATTGGCTAGGACTGGTTTGTTGGACGGTAGGAGGGCTACGACTAACAAACGCGCGTTCGGCGATGTAAGTGAACCTACTTTTCATTTCCTCACCTCACTTCGGACATTTTATTTACTCTTCGCAAA